TATCAATGGAGCAAAATTCTTGTTTCACATGTGCTGCACTGAATAACTGCCCCTAAGAATATGTCATTATCTCAGCTGTAAAATAGATTGCATTGTTCGTCTGTCTGTATCAAACACAGTTTGGAGCCTCCCTGTGCCAAAGGACACTTGCCAGCCTGACAGCTGGGTACGGTTGATAGTTGCCTTCAGTCTGGCTAATAGGGTCTTGTTTTCCAGATTAGGAAATTAGTTGTATCAAGGGCCCAACTTCCAAATGGGGCAAGAGGCTTAAGCGTCAGGAAAGGACGGGCTACTCCTGCGTTTCACGTAGCGAGCAGGCAGTACTACGTGCAGGAAAACAAGGGATGCAGTCTGAAAGTCTGACGTCTGATGCAATCGTTCTTAACTTTTTACTAGAATCATTCACGTTATCGGTATAGAACGTATTTCATCTGTGTAGGCTGACTCTCTGATGTCCTGATGTGGGTTACTGGATATAGAGACACCTCAGACAAGTAACGCTGCAAAAAATACGACCGTGTCTTGCTGGTTTTGTGAATGACTACTGTTAATCGTTTGGCTTCTTGTTCTTACGAAGTGGGACTGCGTGAAGGGGAAGCAGTGAAGCACAAGGCTCTCCCTGTCTTAAGTCCTTAATTTAAGTCCTCCGAGTTGTTTGAAACCATTCCCATTGAGGTCAGTGGCAAAACTTTCCTTTCGTCAGTTCAGGATTAGGCCTAAACTCTGCGCCCATTTTGACAGGAGAAATCTGAGAGTGTATTATTTCTCTTCCTAAATGTGCAGTTTTAAAAGGGGATGAGTTGGGGGTAGGGTTGTGTATTGCTTGCTGTGAACTGAATTTTTTTCTGCAGGAAGTTGCTTTTCTTGAAGGCCAAAGATAAATAGTGAAATGCTAGAAATTTCCTAGGCCCTGCCTTTCAGCTGTCTAATCATATTCTTTGCAGAGACGCTTAAGACTCTCTGCTATGTGCAGTGTTGCTTTAAATTGTCAGCTTGTTCAGTAACCTTTTTTACACTGTCTTGTAATATAATAAAAGGGGGTCACTTTTAAAACTAGTAGCACATCATGCTAGGCTTGATCCAAGAAGATACTTCACTTTTTCACAGTGTTTGCCCATGGAGTGCCATGTCACAGGGCACCACACTGGAGAGAAACTCAGCTGGATAGAAAGGAGCCTGGATAGTTCTCTCACAAACAGTTTTTATATTTATCATTGATAGCATGCTCATAATGAGAACTCATGAAGTTTCAGGGCAGTAGCTTTTCCATGAGGATCCAATACGTGACACTGAAAATAGATTTAACACTTTTTATTTTGTTACAGGAGAAGTAATTTTGCTTTTGTCTTGATGGATTACATGCCTAGTAATCTGATCAGAGTAGATCTTCAATTAAAGCTACAGAGAGGCTGGTGAGCAGAAATAACTGTTCAGCTCCCCCCTTTCATTTCATTTGATGTCACTTTGCTCTCAGGTCCTTTCCCCAGTTAATTTTCTTCAGCTGCGTTCCTCTGCAAGTAACAAATCCTTTGGCTGTAAAATTGAAATAGAGGAGGAGAAAGGCAGCAATGTCTGAATCATTTTATAAAGTCATCTCGATCTTATCTCCAGCCCTTTCCGCCCAAACCCACCAAACTCTTTACTGAGCTGCGTGCCTATAAATAGAACAGCCGCTCTCCTGCAGAGATGGGCAGCTCTGAACCAGAGCCTTGTTTTCTCTGAGCAGTGCGTGCATGCGAGAGCTCGCTTCTCACTGGCCTTTCATGTCTGAGTTACGTAGCTGTGAGGTTTTCTATAGATAGAGACTGGCAAATGACATAAACTGCTACTTAGGGAGGGGCAAGGTGACCTCTGGGATTGTTGCCTTTTGGTTTTTAAAAAAAAAAAAAGGAGAAAAGAGGGTTCTGTTTAAAAGAGGAATGGAGGAATGCACATCTTGTGCAGAGGTGAGTGAGCCCTGCCGAGGTGAGGGAGCCGCCTGATGCGCAGCACTGGGGAGCCGAGCGTGGCAGGCGGGAGCCGTGGGAGCTGAGGGTTTGCTGGGAGTTACTGCTCTGGTGGGCTGGGCGAGAGTTGGAGCTGGCTGAGCTTGGGGAGCGTGGGGCCCTGGCTGACCCCAGTTTAAGCATATCTGTGAATAAGCATAGCAACAGAGCTCTGAAATCTCCTCCTGCAGGTTGCTATTTTTTGATCAGACTCCTGGCTGACTTGATATCTTTGGGCTTTGCATCCTGGGAGTCTTCCCCAGGATTTTTAATTTCTCTCTGACTTCGGTTCAGGGCTTTGCAGAGTTCAGTAGCTACTTGCTCAGTCTCATTTTTTAATTATACGTGGGTTTGTCCAAGGAATGCAAAAGATCACTCCGTGTTTCCGTCTTAGTGTGGAAAATCTCTTGCCACTTTCCCATTTTCTTCCTTGTAGAAAGTGAGCTGCAGAAATGTGTGATTTCTTTAGCATGGTAATTTAGATACTGTTGCTTTACATTTCTTTTTGATACTCAGGTGCCAGGGGTTAAAGTAACTCATCAGATAGACATATATATGTGTTCTAGTAGGACTCTGCAGAGTCAGGCAGCGCTGTTTGTTCCTCTTGGCAGATGGGAGATGGAGACGTGCAGAGTGACAGTTGCTTTATTGGGATCTCGTAGAAAGTCCGTGGCAGAGCAGGAGCCTGAATGCACCGTTCCCAGTTCCAGATGAGTTCCTTCAGCTCTGGCCTTGCCTGCAGGGTCATTTCAGCAAGGGATGCTCTTGGGTCAGTCTTTGAACTCCATTTTCTCTTACGCTGAAGCTTCAGATTAAGATCATGGCTGCATTTCAGATTCGTTGCGTAGCACGAGCTCTAAGTTAGTTTAACATCTTGTTTCTGCGTATCACTATAGTGTGATTACCTTCCGGACCATAAAGCCACTCCCAGATGCCTCATGGCTTCTTAGAGTGTATTCCTACTGCTGTGTCCCTGCCGTGACTCGGAGAAAGTGGGTGCCAAGATGTCTTTCAGCAACCACTTCAGAGTTGTGGGGAGCTGATTGTGGGAGATGGCCACTTTTTGGTATGAGCTTAGTCCTCGATACTGCGTTTTCATTAGTTCTTTTCATTCTGCTGGAAATACGGTGGAGTTTGGTGATTCCTGGTTGAACCAGGCACACTAAGTTGGTGTTTCCCTGAGCACTGACAGGTATTTCTACCAGCATGCAGGTGGCTTTGTGAAACAGAACACTGGGAAATGGTGAGTTTTGGGGTTCACTAGCCTCGGAGTTGGCCAGGTCCCAGGCTTCAAGGTAGATGATGTTTCTTTTGGAGGAGGTAGGGGAGCTCTCACCCTTTTCTCTTTCCGAACGCAGTGGAGGAAGGTATATATTGGCTCCTATGGCCGGCAGCTCTCTTTCAGATCTGAGGGTATGGGGGAGGGCACCCTTT